TGAGGTCTTCTGGGAGCCACGTGAGAGGCAGAGTTTACTTGTAAAGTAATAGTGCATGGATGTATAAATATGCAGAAGGTTTGTGGACTTTGAAGCAGCAATTATATATGGTTGCCCTTGGGCCCAAATCAAATCTTTGCGGAATAGGTTCAGTCAGGACAGAGCAAGGGCTTTGGGATGGTTTGGTTTTTTAATTTGTAAAAAGATTTCTTTCCTCCAAAAGACAAATTATTAAATATCAGAGGATTAAGTAGTATACAGACATACTGAAACAGGATATAATGAACAAAAATGTCTGAACATCTAGATCACTGTTAATCTCTCTTGATTTTTTTTATGTTCTCAAAGAGCATTATTGTTCTGCATCATCTGCATCATGTTGTCTGCATATGGTCTTCAACTTCATCTGTTTCAATGTCCATGATGATTGTAAGGCTTTGTTATATAATGAGAAAATCAAAACAGTTCTTTAAACTGCTTAGTCCAGATGTTTTCAAAATAAATGTCAACTGAAGTCTTGTTGCTGTGGCGTCAGCACCACGTGAAGGAGCATGAGGAAATTATGCTGCCACAGTTCATAAAATCTGAAGGCTTCACTTCTTAATTTTGCCATTAGCAGGAAGACCTTACAGAACTGGTGGACTTGTTTTGCTGTACACCCATGTCCAGCAACACCAACTGTTCTGCAGATTTTAAGTTGTGGTGACTTACAGTATGATTGGAGGTGGGAAGATGAGGCTTTGCCTCAGACTAGTGCAGAATATAGCATTAGAAAAGACTACCTGCACCTTCTATTTGTTGTGGAAGTCTTTACAATAAATATTTAGTTAGAAATTATTAAAGAATATATATTCCATAAGTTCCACAAGATTATTCCCAATATGTTGTAACGAACCTTCTCTCTATGTACTACCCAAAATGAAATTTATAATTTGGAGAAAAAAAAAAAAAAGTCCTTCCTATTTGTTGTGTCAGGTAGCTGCAGAAAAAGTATAGTGCAAACAAATACCAATTCCTTCTCCTTTCAAAGCTGGAAAACATTTAAGGAGAGTTCCTGGTGAATACATACCAATGTTGGATAGATGGTCTTGTTCTGAAGTGCAGAACGTGACCTAGTAGTGCTGGTCTGCAGCATAAAAAGCTTCACAAAGTTGAACAGCATCTAAAGGGGTTTACTTGGAAACAACCAGACAGAGAAGGACCTATTTAGTTGAGGTCTGGCAAATTAGCTGTATTAAATTAAGGAAGAGGCAATATTGGAGTGGTAATAGATATACTGATAACAGTTAATACAACAGTTAGTTGATGTGATTTTGTCAATTTCTGACCTTTTACTAAGATTTCTATACATAGTGTTTAATTTAAAGCTGCAGTTTCTAGTTAGCATTTGGAGACAAGTAATTCTATGAGATCTTAACTTTTTGCCTTAAATAATTCAAATTCTCACCTTTTGGGGGGGGGAGGGCGGGGTGCGGGGAGTGCATGTGAATCTTACTTAAGTGTGCAAACAAATACCAATTCCTTCTCCTTTCAAAGCTGGAAAACATTTAAGGAGAGTTCCTGGTGAATACATACCAATGTTGGATAGATGGTCTTGTTCTGAAGTGCAGAACGTGACCTAGTAGTGCTGGTCTGCAGCATAAAAAGCTTCACAAAGTTGAACAGCATCTAAAGGGGTTTACTTGGAAACAACCAGACAGAGAAGGACCTATTTAGTTGAGGTCTGGCAAATTAGCTGTATTAAATTAAGGAAGAGGCAATATTGGAGTGGTAATAGATATACTGATAACAGTTAATACAACAGTTAGTTGATGTGATTTTGTCAATTTCTGACCTTTTACTAAGATTTCTATACATAGTGTTTAATTTAAAGCTGCAGTTTCTAGTTAGCATTTGGAGACAAGTAATTCTATGAGATCTTAACTTTTTGCCTTAAATAATTCAAATTCTCACCTTTTGGGGGGGGGAGGGCGGGGTGCGGGGAGTGCATGTGAATCTTACTTAAGTGTTTTTTAGAAGTTTAAAGAAAGGCTTTTAAAAATATTTTTAGGGTTTAGGGGCCTGTCACTACTGCTTGGCAAGCTTGACTTGTTTTTTTAACATTTGACATGGGTGACAAACATCAGACCTTTACTGTAGAGACTGATACTGGTTTCATGCAGAATGTATAGTCTTGCAGTTCATTGTATGTGTAAATGTATTTGTAGTATGGTTCTAATTTTCAGAAATGTGTTGAGCACTTGCTACCACACAGCTGTGCCTGAGATCAAAGCTGAGTCTTTGGCTTGTGACAAAAGTAGGATTCAGTCTTTGTAGCAGGGACTTTCTGAACTGGTAACATGTCAAGATGGCAGGAAAATGCAGTGGCTGATCTTCAGAGTGTTATATTAAAGGTAATTTTTGTTTGGCATACTGTGAGCAATACAGAAATTGGTGACTTACAAAGACATTGTGAAGGAAGTTACACCTTTCACTATGCAAGGTCTCTTTGAAAAAATGGTTTTGGTAATTCCAGGGGAATGAAAAGGAGGTGGTTAATGTTTAGTCTAGTGCTTCATCTCATATTGAATAATAAATTACTGGTTTTCAACTCAAAATGTTTACAAGAATATATACTAAGGATAGGTATTGCTTGATGCAATTAATAGTCATAAGTTGGTGAACAACATGAAAGATGACTCTGAAAATGGCACAAATAATTTGGCTTTGGTAAGAGGAAAAGGTGACTGAGGAATTGAACAACAGAATGTAAGGATGGTGCAATAGAAAATGCAGTGGTGATGGATGCTAATTTACATTGGCAAGAGTTGTTTGAATCATTAATAAATATTGCTGAGTTCTATTTGTTGATAAAATCAGGGCAGAGTTACAGTCAATGAAAATGCATGTAAGATAGCTAAAGCTGTATTATTCAATTAACACATCCAACATCATTCTGCAAAGTATATAGTTTAACCCTGAAGTCTAGAAGTAATCAAGAACAAGTCACTGGCCAGTACCTAATCAATAACACATTTTCCGGAGTATTAATATCCACACCTATTGAATAAGTGCCTAGAGTGAATTGCTAATTTAGAGGAGAAAGTAAGATGTTTCCACAGATGGGTATTTTCTACTCCAGTGCTTCATACAGATACTGATAAATTTCTGAGGCTGTGGAATGGTCAAGTAATTGGACTGATGCAGTATAATAATTTTGAGTCAAAGACAACAAAACCTGAATCTATTCATACTAGTGTATAAGAAAACAGTAAGATATTTTGATGAGTTTTCAGCAGTACTGTCAAATATATTTGAGTAGATTAATGATGAGAGGTTACATAAACTTGAAATATTATAAAATTTGTTGTAAAAATACACAAATAGATTAATTTACAAACATGATAAGAAGACCCTAGTAAAGAATTACATTCTTCAACCCATGAATAAGTTAGTAGGATAGAGCGATGTTACATGTGATTTTTGGTTTTATAGTTAGTTTAGTATATATTCTTAATGTCATGTGCTTTCCCCAGTTATGAATTGGCTGCTTTTTCTCATCCAAACTGAAACACATCTTGATTGTTAACTTTATGTTTTTTTGTTCTGTTTTGTTTTCCAGTTCAAAAGAATGCTCAACCGGGAGCTAACCCACCTATCTGAAATGAGCAGGTCAGGCAATCAGGTCTCGGAATATATATCAAACACATTCTTAGGTAAGACTATGTTGGGAGTTAACTTTTGCACCTTTTTTTTTTTTTTTTAAAATCTCTCTCTGGGCTGTAATAGAGCTTAAAAGCAAATAGTTTTCTGTATTAATTTCTCTTCTCAGAAACTACATTTAGTACCTCATTTTTCAGTGTTTAAGCAGAGAGATCATGTTAGATCCATTTCCTCACAGCTCATTTAGTTGGTGCATATGGCTTCCCTGTGTGTGTAATTACAGATAAATATTAATACACTTCTCATGTAACATTGCAATTACTGTATTGTTAGTGTGTTAAGAAATGAATATGTAATTCATTAAATATGTATTAAAAAGTATTCTTTCACTCTGTTTCCTTTATGAAAGTTACCGCAAAGAGGGTTCATTGTGCTAGAAGTACAGAAGCACAAGTAACCTCTTAAAATCTTGTAGCGCACATTTCTGATGCTTTGATATTCCCTGCCTGCACACCAACAGGTGGATGAGTATGACTGAGTCAACATTGAAACAGACTGCTGCCAGGAGTTTTTGTGCAGCTCAAGAGCTTGCATGGTGGGATGTAAGCATTAAGAAAAGCCTGACACAGTATTACAAAGAGTATGGGTTCCTCCTCTATGCCTTTTCTGGACTAAGTATGTATTATTTTGCTAGAACAAGGGAAAATGAATAAAACTTGGTTCCATACTGTTCTTGAACTTGAAGATAAGGAAAACAGACCAATTTCAGTTATGTTTTGAGCAAAACACCATTGGTTCATAAAGGCAGCGTGTATAAGGGGAGGCTTATTTTCAATTACGTTTTGAGAAATGTGCCTGGGGGGGGGCACAGCTGAAGAAGTGCAAATTAGGATAACAAGTACTTTAGAAAGTGCCAGTCACACATCTTAAGATACATCTTTTTTTATTTGTGTAAGACACCATATCTGGTGCTTCTTGAGTTTTCTTGAAAGAACCGCAGTTTCTTAGATATGTTTTATCCTGCTTGTCACCATATCTTTAAATGGGTCGCTTATTATGTCTTAAAATTCACTTGAAGTTTATCCATGGTTTCAGTAGCATGCCTGAGCACTCCGGCACAGCAGGGTTTCAGACAGTAAGACAGTGATGAACCTCTGTCATGGAGATGCACTATTGCATAGGTTCAGGAGCCCTGGAAGTTGCAGTATACAGATGCCTGGGAAGATGACCCACTTAGGCTGAAAAAAACTAAGATTCCCATTTCTGCTTGCTTTTACTTGAAAACTTAGATCTCATTTTGACAGAGTAAGGAAATGCACCTGTCAGCCTTTCACATGGGATTTCAGTTTTGAGTGGAAAGGCAGTCACTTCTAAGTAGTTACTGAGCCATGGGTATTGTTTTGTGCTTGCATGAAAACTGAGGACACTTAAAATTTTATGTTCAAGAGGAATACAATGGGAAATTACCATAGCTACAGATACATTGCTGAATTATTTTCAAGATATGCAGTGTAAGTATACCATTTCTGAGGAACAATGTAAAGAGAGAAAACATTGTCTCGAGGGAAAATTTTAATTAATCTACTTTATAAATATTTTTTAATACATAACCTTATCTCCTGAGCATCTACAGACTTTCCCACATTTGGGATTTAGGGAAGTGACATGAGAAAACAGGAGGAAAAAAAGGACTGTTTTGCCCTAGTAGGGCTATATGAAATGTATGAAGTTATTCATAATGACAAGTATATTCCATGTGTGAGATTTAAGTCTCCTATACCAAGTATAAAATATGCAAAGTTTTTATTTTTCAGTGTCATCAAACATTTTTTTTATTAATATAAAATGTAAGAGAACCTGCTAAGGAGAACAGGACAACCAGAGTCAAAACAGCAAGCAATCTTTTCTGGATATTAAGATCGGCACGGGATCCTTTGCCTTGTGTCCTCTTTGTTACAAAAGCAGGGTCAGTCCCATGGAATTCCTTCAGGGATCTAAAGTTGTTCAGACACATCCTTTCACTTGACTTAAGTCTGACAGCTCAGCTTATGAACCTCCCTTTGATGGGTCTAAACTTTGCGCGTATGACTGAAGTCATAAACATCAAAGCGCAAACACGAATCACTGCTCGTCATCTGTTGTCTGTTTGCACCAGTCAAGAGCTGCAAAGCTCTGCCTCCCGCTTTTCTTGATTGTCCATATGAGGAGAGCAGTGAAGTCTGGAGGAGGCAATCGGGGACCTCAGTGCCACAGGCTAAAGCTTCATGAAATTTCTACAGTTTCTTCACTGTGATTTGTTTAGAATTTGAGGTATCTAGTAAATGCAGCTGCTAAAGGGTAATAATAAATAAATAGATAAATAAATAAATAAATAAATTTTTGAAAAAAGGGAAGAAGCAAACAAAATAACAGTCTGGGAACTAGAAATGTACTTGCTACCATCATCCACTTTCAGTGTCTGTAATGAAAATGGGTGTTGCAGTAAGGGAAAAACAGACATGTTTTAAAGTGCCCATTTCTTCTTTTTTTTTTTTTTTTTCATAAATAATTTATTTTGTTCTACAGTGTCTTTTAAATGATGTTGCACACCACCGTACCATTTCTGCAATGATCAGCTAGCCATCACCTAACTATTCCGTTTACTGTCAGTTTAATCCTTGTATAAAGTTGTTCTGGCACATACACTGATGATGTGTATAAAGTGATGCTACTGATACTGCTATGGAGGCAAAAGCCCACAGCAAAAGGCTGTGTTTTAGCAAAGCAGTCTTTGTGTCAGTATTACTTGCTCTGGTTAAGAGATGGAGAAATGCAATGCATTGTAGATATGGCTGGCAAAAGGCTTACTGACTTTTATCATCTTAACACAAGCAGGACCAGCCCCAAGTATTAGGTCCTTCAAGTCCTGAAAATGCTTTGTAAAGATTTACATGAGATACCACTTTGATTCTTTTTGATATACAGTTTCAGAGAGTGTTCTTCCTAGAAAAGAAGTAATTTTAAATTTTCTTGCAAAATTAAAGGTTTACATTTTTGTTCAATTTGTAACAATGTTTTTATAATGGAAAGTATTGACACTTTGTGCCTTTGCTAAGGGTGCAGGAGAACTGGAAATCAGACAGTCAAGAGTCACATTTAAGGCCAGTTAAGAAAGAGTGAGTCAGCTTGTGAAATAGAAATCTGGTTATATTGAGGAATAGAGCTATGCTTATGTTTCCATGTTTTTACTGCTCTTGATACAAAGTATCTGTTGCAAAGTCCCAAATAAAACCAGTTTTGTTGCTAATTAGAATATCCATAAGATGCAACTCAACTGTGTAGTGAACAAAGGTATTTGTAATTCCTTAAAAAATGTATTTTTTTTTTTTGTTCTTTTGAAGACAAACAACATGAAGTTGAAATCCCTTCTCCAACACAGAAAGAGAAAGAGAAAAAGAAGAGGCCAATGTCCCAGATCAGTGGAGTCAAAAAACTGACGCACAGCTCTAGCCTAACTAATTCCAGTATTCCCAGATTTGGAGTTAAAACAGACCAAGAAGATGTTCTTGCCAAGGTAGAGAATATATATATCTCCTTGAATTTAAGCCACTGAATTAAAAGAAAGGGTGAACTTGTCAGTGTCGTGGTTTGGGCAAAACTGATAAAAAAGAAGCAAGTAGCCACTTGCTCAGCCTTGCCTCTGCTGTGGGATGGGGAGGACGAAATCCAACTAAAAGCTTGTGGTTTGAGACGAAGACAAGAAGGGTTCACTCAACAATTATGGTCACGGACAAAACAGAGTCAATTTGGGAAAAAAAAAAATCATCTATTTAATTTGTCACTAATCAGATGCAAGCAGGACAAAAAGAAAACAAAGAACAGAGTTTTAATAACCTGACCCCACCTCTTCCTTCACCCCGGGCCCAAAGTACTGTGTTCCTTGTTTCTCTGCGTCATCCCTCCCAGCAGCATATGTGGCCAGGGAGTGGGTTTTACAGGCTCTTTGTCACTCACTGTTTTCTGCTGCTCCTTCTTCCTCAGGGGGAAGGATTCCTCACAATCTTCCCCTGCTTCCCTGTTGGGTCCCTCCCATGGGAGAGAGTCCCTCACAAATGTCTCTGACATTAGTCCCTCCCACAAGGTCCCTCAGGAGCAAGCTGTTCTGGCGTGGGCTTCCACAGAGTCACTGCCTGCTTTGGGAACAGCTACCTCCCCTGGCATGGGGTCCTCCAAAGCTGCAGATCCACATTTGCCCCACCATGGTTCACAGGCTGCTGGTCCTCATCTACCCCACCGTGCTCCCCCAGGGGCTACAGGGGAAAAGCTTGCTGTCTCACCATGGGCTACAGCGGAACTTCTGCTTGAGCACCTCTTCCCCGTCCTTCCTCAGTGACCTCACCTCTGCTCTCCATCCCCCTCCCCGCCCCTCTTCTTTGGTCTGAGGTCTTATATCAGTTTGTTTCCCTTTCTTTTAATATGTTAATTACATAGGTGAATCCATTGTCTCTGATGGTGGGCCTTGGCCAAAGGTGTGGCCACATTTTTGGAAGCAGGGGAGCTTTTCAGCTTCTTATAGGATCCACCCCTAGAGCCCCTTCCTCTGCTGCCAAAACCACATTACAGCCAAAACAGTCTGTTTTATTCCATCCACTGCTTATGACCATTGATTTCAAGCTGCAGCACCAAAGGTTGGTCTCGAAATAGTACACATTTCGTTGAGTGGAAGGATAACAAGTGAAATCAGGGTCAGGCCATAAGGGTTAATTGCCATGTGAACAGGATTTCATCTAGAGCTGGAATGTACATTAGCATTCAAGTATGCATTAATAAAGCTGATTATTCATAAATAATATCTGAGGAGTGAAGAGTAAACATGCCATATAATGTCACAGGAATGGAAAATGTTTTTTGAAAACACAGAACTGGCATATAGTATTAGAGCTGTCCATCCAGCTCCTGTCTTCAGCTGTATCATCTAAGTACATCATTTGTGGTTTTGCTTTTAGTGATATTTCCTGTGATTTTTTGCAGCAGGAGCTAAGTAGTTGATGATAATCTAAAACTGGCACAAAGTGATTATTAATTTAATTTTAGAGCTTTGCACTTTGAAACATGCTTATCCTTGTGTTCTCAGGAATCTGCCCCTTTATTTCAAGAGCATTTCTGAGAACCAGGGAGACAGCAGCAGAACCACAGCATGTCTAGGGGTTTCTTCTTCACTACATTCTTCTGTCACTGGGCAGTGGGACAGCAAAGTGTGTCAGTTCAGTGCATTCCAGATACTGTAGTATTATTCCATCTGGTGCATTTTACTTAAGAGGCACTCTTTCCTACTTTTTAAATAAAAAACTGCAAAGCTGGTAGCTGCAAATTAAAATACCACATGGGTAGTAGCAGCAGATTTCCCCCTTCTAGGGTTTACCAAATAGGTTTCATAGCAGCAAGGTCTGGCTTTCCGTGAGCATGCTGTTTGTAGCTGTTTCAATAACAAAATCACTGGAATTTGTGCGTTAGCTTTTAATGTGTCTGTTCCTTGATTTTGCTCTAGGAACTAGAGGATGTGAACAAATGGGGCCTTCAGGTTTTCAGAGTAGCAGAGTTATCTGGAAACAGACCACTGACAGTCATCATGCACACTATTTTTCAGGCAAGTAGCAGAAGCCATTCTGATGTTTTTGCTTGTCTTAGATGTTTTCCTATGCTTGTAATCTTGTTTCTCTTTTCCTTTTCTAGGAACGGGACCTGTTAAAAACATTTAAGATTCCAGTAGACACTTTAATAACTTACTTGATGACCCTAGAAGACCATTACCATGCAGACGTGGCATATCACAATAACATACATGCTGCAGATGTTGTTCAGTCAACCCATGTCCTGCTGTCAACCCCGGCATTAGAGGTAAACCACTCTGAAGTGGGAAGAGGGCAGGTGTAAGAGAAAGGGACATACTGAGACCCTTCTAAACTAAATATTAAGTATCTTAGTTTCTGCAGTATTTTTAAAAGTAATCTTAAAATTTCTTGCATGAATTGTGCTCTTTTAAAGATTTTTGTGAGTATCAATCATATTTGAGTGTAAATATTGTGCAGAAAATGTCGCATCCTTTTCTTTTAAATCATGTTTTTATACTTGCAGATGTGTACCATCATAACCTTTTTCATTGTAAAACAATGCATGACTTGTTTCCAGTATCTCATTATTGATACTACATCCTGTTCTGTCATTATTTCCCATGTGGGGTTCTCGCTAACCACAGTTAATGGCATTGCTTAGGAAAGATAGTGATAAAATGGGATTCCCTCAATAGAGCCATTTGTTTCTTGGTCTGTTTTTTTTTGTTTGGTTGGTTTTTGTTTGTTTGTTTTATTGTGCATATTTATTCTGGTCCTGGGAGCCTACTTTCCTGTTTGTTGCCTAGGCAGAGTGGAACATGTATTGAATTGTCACTGGACTATCTCATTTTTGTTCAAAATCATTTCAACACTGTTTGGAAGAAAAATAGCATTTAGTATGTTCTTTTCTGAAGGATTCATTTAAAAGTGCTTAAATCTCTTCAGCAGAATGTAGAAGAAAGATGGAGATTACCTTCCCTTTTTTAAGCATAATTCAGGCATTAGCATAGCGAACATTGGTAGATCCCAGTAAATTGAAAAAAACAGAAAAAGCAATTAATTGAAATCTTAGTAGTTATTCAGAATTTGCCCTCATTTTCAGTAAGGGTTGCATTTTGTTTCTTGTTCATAATGACCAGATTAATGCTTCTGCTTTGCCACCTTCTTGAGTGTTATAAGTGAACCTTAAGACTGTTGGCAGATATTGATTTTCAAAGCCTTGGGAATTCTCTTGAGGCAGGTTTTCTTTATCTCAAGAAGGAAGATCATGTTATATTCTTAAATCACCAGCTGAACTGGTCATCAGTCTCATTTTGGGGGTTTTTTCTAGATCAGCTGTTTTTTGTGGCCTTGTTCTCAGCAGAGCTTTAGCCAGTAGAACAACAATGTCTGCCCAGTGCCCACCGCTACTGTTGATCTACGCACTTGATCATGAAAGCAATTATGTAATGTGGGAGCATCAGACAGGAGAGCTGGGCTCGATGACATGCCAGGTCAATTGTAGTCCTATCTTCCTAATAATCTCATACAGAAAAAAAAATCAGGAAATGCGAAGTAAGGTACCTTGTAGTCTGTCACCATTTCGTTTAGCATCATTTTGGAGACGTGCATCTTTCAAGTATAGGACAACACGTAGAAGACTGGATGAAATTTTTAACTTCAATTTGTGCTATAGGTTAGAAACTAGTTACTGATCTAACCTTACTTAATGAGGTAACAAAAGGGATGATATTTAAAGACTGAAGCTGAAAAAAAGTGTTGTGGAATTTAGTTATTGTGTCAATGTGAAAAAAAGGATCGTTTTATTTTAGCCATGTTTCAAATATTTATGCAGTTTTACAAAATTGATAATTTCACAAAAGGTTATGATAGTCTATGTGTTAAAGTTCTTGATGATACCTTTTAAATAAATTTTGCTTGTTCAGATCTAAATTCAAAGTAGAATTCTCTTCACTGAAAACACTTTTTCATTGATTAGTGATTGTCATTCCTATTTCATTATTTTGTAGGCAGTGTTCACTGATTTGGAGATTCTTGCAGCAATTTTTGCCAGTGCAATACATGATGTAGATCATCCTGGAGTTTCAAACCAGTTTCTTATCAACACAAGTAAGTTTGATGTTTGGTGGTTTTCTCAACAATTTACCACAAGATCTGCATGTAGCATGTCAAAAATACACAGTTAATTCCTTCTTTGCTTCTGTTTGTACCTTTTCTCAGTAAATAAATAGTTGTTTGTATTTTAAACTGGATATTGTTTTGACTTTCTTGTAACTTTAGGAATAATACACATAGTACCCTCTAGCAAGAATTACCAAGACGTGATCTATAATCCTGGCATTGTTTCAATGTGCTGGATGTGGTCTCTCTTAGAAATTAGTTAGTTAACATTAAATAAATAAAGTTGTAGGAAAAAAAACAAAGGAAGATTAAATAAAAATCAGAAAAAAGGAAGACAACAGTTTATGGGTTTATATTGGACATGTGTTATGACCAAGGATAGCCATACACTCTATGAGTGAAGGAAAAAGCCCTAATGAAATGAGACCCTAATGTCATCTCCAAACTTCAAACCTTGTGTACTTTTTGTGCATTTCTGAAGGCTGTTGTCTGCAGCATTGCAGGAACCTCTCTTCCCTCTTTAATCTTTTGCTAGAAGAAAAACAGTATTAGCTTTGTTGTACTTGATGGTGACAAATTTAACCAAGTGGCTTATTGCCCCCAATATAACCTGCTTTGATTTCAGTGGCTTATGTTACTATTGTAAGTGGGTAGCACATTGTAGGTCAGTGCAGGTTCTGTCATATGATGTTCTTGCTTTTGCCATCCTCCAGCTTCTCCTTTTACATTAACTGACCCAGAAGTACAAAAGTTGAAATAACACTGATAAACCAGACACAGAACAAGAAGCTGCAGAAATGGAAACATTTGTATTTGACATGTAAACATGTATTTGACCCATCTGGATGCACATTTATAGATACTGTCATTTCTGCATTTCTATTGCACTTGTACTAAAGTAGCATAACCCCAAATAAGCAGTATAGTACATGAAACAGTGTGTAATTCCTAAATGCTTCAGAGTGGATATATATAAATAAAGGTTTGATTTGTTTATTTAATGAGAAATTACGTATCAGGATATATTGGTGGCTCTGAGGTGCTACAGTGAAACCACTAAGTTGTTCAGTTTTAAACAGGACAATAGGCTAGTTGAAGGGATCAAAGTGATACATAAAGCTCTCACTTTTAGGCAGACACTTGAAATTCATCTGGGTTGGGTGTGATTCTGATGCTGCTTATTCAGTAGCATTAAAACATGTCTTGTTTTTTTTCAATTCAACTGTTGATAGAGAAGGTTTCCAAGTCAGTTGTATTAGATCACTAACTGAAACTGCTGTTGCCAAGCTGAAAGAGAAAGAGATTTTATCCCTTTCAAGAGGGGCAAGAGGGGGCAGGGAGTGACCCAGATTTGCAGGCAGCCTTGGTGTAAACTAGAGTGAGATAACACTCAAGGTCTGAACACAAACATCAACTTTAGTAGGAATTGAGTGCATAATCATCAACAACAATGAGAAAATAGACCCATGTTTTATTAGCTAAGATTTCTGCAGAACACACACTCCATAAATATTGGCAGTTCCACAATTTATACACATCTAAGCCATATGGCTTTATAGGAAATCAAGATGGATCTTGTGTAGCTTACTAACTATGAGAGAAAGAGAAAAGAGTAGGAGACAAAAGGATAGAGAGATCAGCAATCCTGGATGCAGTGTCACTGATGGGGGGTGTTTGGTACAGAGAGTGTCACCACCTGAAAACTTGTATGTACCCCCTATTTATAGGCCTGGTTGAAACATCAGCACTTTCTCATGACATGGGAGGCACTAGATAAGTTTCTGTGGCCAATCAGAAGTGCCACCAGGCCGCTCCTCCTGGCTTCTGGCTTCTGTCCAGGGTCACAGTACAGTCACTTAGAGATTGTCCCATACACTTAGTTAAGAATACTTCTGTTAAAGAAGGCAGTATTATGGCTTCAGGCTTTGACCACACTCAAATACCTGGCAGTAGACGAGGCCACTGCCTGCATTTTCAAGCCCCATGACCTTTCAAGAAAAGACTAGAAGCATAATTATCATCTTACCAGCCTGCTCTCAAAAAACCCCGTTGTCGTAGAGTGATGACCTGAAGGTCTAATTGGCTAGGCATCTGAGTGCCTTAGCTAACTGCCAAAGGACATGGTCTGAAAACCAAGACATGCACTCTCTGGGTGACCTGCAGCAAAGCCTCAACTGTGTATTCCCAGTCTGAGTGCTGGATAGCTGAAACTTGACTTAAACGATGGAATTTTAGTAGTTATTATAGGAGGCAGGCATGAGAAGAGGAAACATCGAAGTGTGTTTTAGTTTAGGTGTTTTTATGCATGTAGTATTTCTGTGTGGCCTCATGCAAATTTGAACGTGTATTCTGAAAAATATTGTCCTCATATTTTTTATAACTTGCCACTTTAGGCATGTGTACATTCTTCACTGAAAATATTTTCTTTGTTTTCCTCAACATACTTTGCCATGATTTCTTAAGATATTCAGTCGTTAATTCTGTACCTTTCAATACGGCATGAACTACTGGAACTCTGTTTCTAAAAGTTAATCTGTAAATCTTTCCATGAATGTAACAAATTTGAAAAATCTTAAGGGATTTGGTAGAAGCACAGGCTTTAGTAACATTCTGCCCTGCAATTGTTGTTGCAGATTCTGAACTCGCCTTGATGTACAATGACTCATCAGTACTGGAGAATCATCATTTAGCTGTGGGCTTCAAGCTGCTACAGGAAGAAAATTGTGACATTTTCCAGAATTTGACCAAAAAACAGAGGCAGTCATTGAGGAAAATGGTCATTGACATTGTGAGTTCTGCTAGAGACTCTCTTCCATAGTGCTAGCAAATGGAATAACAAAGCACAAAAGCATTTTATGATAAATTACATGTCACTAGAACCGCAACCAGTTCATTAAAAGTTTGGAGTTTTATTGTGTCTTAACCAAATACGAAGAGTGGGTTATTTTCAGATTCTAAAGGCATCTGTGCCCTTTTAGAAGCCATAGAGTCCTGCTTCAAGCTTTTTTTGTACTCACACATATGCAATTTCACTGTCACAGTTAGAAAATTGTTACTAAATTGATACTGAATTTAGGCTAATCAGATCATTCTGAATAATTCTGAAAAATAATTTTGTCTAATTCTTAAAATAACCAAAATGAAAACCTACTATTTTAGACATTAAGACATACAAGACTCAGAATTTTATAATGTATTTAGATGGAGGAGTTATGTTCTCCCCAAAACTGTTCCTTATGTACTCAAAGGTTTATTTATTTATTTTAAAATCAGTGGGATAATTAACATAATATTAATTTATTTGCTTGTTTTTTCAAGGTACTTGCAACTGACATGTCTAAGCATATGAATCTGTTGGCTGATTTAAAAACTATGGTTGAAACCAAAAAAGTGACCAGTTCTGGTGTCCTGCTTCTTGACAACTATTCAGACAGGATCCAGGTAAGAAAATGTGTCTGCAGATGTTCACTTGTATTTACTTACATCCTTAATAACATTGACCTGCCTGTTGTCCAGCAGATCAGGTGTCCATTCTCACACCATGTCTCAGTGCCTTCACTCTATGCCCTCTTATGTTTCCTACCTGTGACATACTCTGTTAGATACTGAGTGACTCTCTGGGAGAGTAAAAAGGTGCTAGAGTGCTTCTGGACTAAAAGAGATTTTGGCCTTCCCTTCAAATTACCAGCGCCTGATTGGTCTTTCTCTAAAATATTTTCTTTCCCTTATACAGACACAAAAAGCAGAAGTGGGATAATTCATGGTTATTAGTTCAAGTGTGAAAAACACGCAAGTGTGTGTTTTTGCTGCTTAGAATAAATCCTTAACTACGTGTATTTTCCAGATTCTGTTCCACAGCCAACAAAGGTGTAAATGGAAAAGAAGCTGGTTTTCTCCAGTGTAATAACACTGCAGGTGTTCAATCTATTTTAGGTTCTTCAGAATATGGTGCACTGTGCAGACCTAAGCAATCCAACCAAGCCTCTCAATCTCTACCGCCAATGGACAGACAGAATAATGGAGGAATTCTTCTGTCAGGGAGATCGGGAAAGAGAGAGAGGAATGGAGATAAGTCCCATGTGTGACAGGCACAATGCATCTGTAGAAAAATCACAGGTAACTGATTTGAGTAGGCAGTTAAATAACACAGTATGACATTTTAATAGAAAAAGATTTTCTATTGCCATGTTTTGAGTTGTTTCTGAAGGCACTATTTTCCTTTTTTTTCCTCCTACTTAATTGGTTCAGCTCCTGAGTAGTAAGTGAAGGGAGCTGAGATTTTTACTGTGAAAACATAGTGCATGGCAAGCTGTTTGCTGAAGGGATTCCATTGCTGTTGTGATATGCACTGGTGCGTACTCATCAAAAGAGTGTTGCACAGCTGTTTGTTAGGGTTTCCTTCAAAAGCAGAATTAATTATAAAGCAGCTTTTCGGCTCACTAAGTGCAGAGAAGTTGTTTGGAATGAACAGTTCATTTGAAAACAAACCCCTTACAAATCCTTATTCAACATCCTAAATTATACTTTTGAAATGTAAATATACATAAAACAGTATGGTTTCCTTGCAGCCACCTTTAAAGGTAGTGCATCCAGTGTCTCTTACTAGTGATATATTTATCATACTTAATTTGACTTATAGGAATAGTTGTTTATTTCTTTGTGAATAAGAGCTCATCCTAATTTTGTATTATTTGAAACAGGTGGGTTTTATAGAATACATTGTTCATCCTCTGTGGGAGACATGGGCAGATCTTGTTCACCCAGATGCCCAGGATATCTTAGATACACTGGAGGACAATCGAGAGTGGTACCAGAGCACAATCCCTCAAAGTCCCTCTCCTGCACCTGATGACCAGGAAGAGGGTAGGCAGGGCCAAACTGAAAAATTCCAGTTTGAACTAACACTGGAGGAGGATGGTGAGTCAGACACTGAAAAGGACAGTGGAAGTCAAGTAGAAGAAGACACCAGCTGCAGTGACTCCAAGACTCTTTGCACCCAGGATTCAGAATCCACTGAAATTCCTCTTGATGAGCAAGTAGGGGAAGAAGTAGAAGACGAGGAGAACCAGACAGAACCTTGTGTAGTAGAAGACCATACTCCTGACACATAACATTGAAGATGCAGTCTCTGTCTTTTGCTCCTTCTCTTTCTTTTTCTCTTTCTCTCTACACCTTTCCTTTCCTTTCCTTTCCTTTCCTTTCCTTTCCTTTCCTTTCCTTTCCTTTCCTTTCCTTTCCTTTCCTTTCCTTTCCTTTCCTTTCCTTTCCTTTCCTTTCCTTTCCTTTCCTTTCCTTTCCTTTCCTTTCCTTTCCTTTCCTTTCCTTTCCTTTCCTTTCCTTTCCTTTCCTTTTTCCCTCTTCTCTTCTCTTCTCTTCTCTTCTCTTCTCTTCTCTTCTCTTCTCTTCTCTTCTCTTCTCTTCTCTTCTCTTCTCTTCTCTTCTCTTCTTTTTTTTTTTTGTTTCATTTTCTTTTTATTAGATAATGGTTTCCAAAGTGTATATCATATGCTACAACCATGGTCACAACTCGCTGTCATCTGCCAGGATGTTTGTTGATTAAAACTAACCTTGATGACTCAGTTTGGCGCTCAGGAATACTGTAACCAGAATTTTCACCTCCATGGCATCAGAAAGCAGGGGGAGAGAACATCCATTAACTACATCTTAATAAGCTTTCCTTTTGGCAGATTGGATTAAATAAAGCAAATGTTTTTGAAGGAATACCACCTGCCAACCAAATACTGGTATACTTTGATAGGTTTTGAATTCATTGCATTTCACAAGGAAAGCATTGGATAGTGTTCATCATGAGAGGAAACAGACAGAATATGAACTGAGGTTCCTACTGGAAAACAAATGCACATAAGTGATGTGACACAACATGATTCTGTTACCAAAAGGAAGATGAGCTGTGGAAATTGCATAATTTTCTAATTTCAAGTCTTCCTGATATGTGACTGAAGAAGTGTGACCTAGTAGGTTGCACTAACCTCTGCATTTTGTATAATATGTAAAAGAGAGATCTTTTGTAGAGCTTACTTTTATTATTAAATGTACCAAGGTATTATATTTAAAGAAAAACATTTTCAGACTTCATCTGCCACTGGTTATTTTTTTTTCCAAAGAGCAACTTGCAAGTTTTCAGTACAAACCTGTGCTACACTGGATAATACTTGTAGGTTTTTTTCCTTTTTTTTGCACCTTAGAATTTCATGGTAATACTGATCTGTAAAAGTCTATTATTTTATATATTAGTGAGTTCCATGAATATCCTTTATGTTATGTTAAACTTTTTCAGTATGATGACTTTTTTAGTTCGTTTGTTTTGCATCACAATTTTCCCAAATGTATTAGAGGAACGTATGTGATGCTTTTGACCTCATAGTGGCCTGATCCTGGCAATTCTGTCTTACTACAAGAAGTGGTACCAGTGAAACAAACTGGCACCACTGAGATTAGGACTTGCAGGACTAAAGCCCTTAAGAAAGGTAATGAATTGCTGTCTTAAGACAAAAGCAGCTCTTCTGCTATACTAATAAAATGTGTCCCTCTGAAACATGGTCTCTGGACCATTTTTGGCTGGGAACTATAGACTTCTAGCCGGCCAATACAATGTATGGAATATTTCTCCTGGTGAAAAAAGCATTTGTGTAGATTTTCCAATTTTGACTTCCAATTACTTTTTATCTATGTCAGGTTATTTAAACCATTTGCTAATCTGAGACGTGTACAACATGAAAGTAATGATTAGCATTATTTTTTTCAGATCCGTTGCAAGAAGATCCAGGTCAATCTATTATTATTTTGTATTTTTAAGCATATGAGCAATGCATCATGAGAGCTGTAGTTTACCCCATATTATTTCCATCTCAGACCTTCTCATCTTTTATCCAGCTAGTGCTGTGAGGAAATACAGATTTTCAAATTGATTGGTACTGAAAGGTTTTGTAACTTGGAAAGTTAAAAGGAAGTAGGAGTTTGTATTTATAATTTTCCAGCTGTTGTTTGGTCACATGAAAGAAGAAGGAAATTTATTCTCTCTGCTTTACTTTTCATTAAAATTGTGGTTTTGAGCACAGAAAATGGAAAGTAGTTGCCTGGGAAAGCTGGCAGACTCCCACTCTGTAAAATCCTGGTAAAATGACACTACCAAGATGATTTCTTAACTAAAGAAGACAGCCCATTTGGACTAGTTTTGTAGTAAATTTGCAGATATAAATATAGGAGGTGGTGGTGGTGTTTAAGTGTCTGAGATTTAGAATAAAAGCCTGTTTAAAAACTATTGGCTAATAATTCAGCTTTTAAATGCATTTTGCATTCTTCTGTATCCAGGTCATAGGTTTTTTCTGCCTTTAGCCCTCAGAAGGTCTTATAGCACAGAAGATGCACAGAAGGAGGAAAGAGAATGAAGATAATTCATGTTGTGTTTTTTTTTTCATTTTTGATTCTCATTATTTGTTCTTCATAGTTTCTTCCTGAACCTGATCCATCTAAAAATCCTTTCAGTCCCCAAGAGTGCCTGGAACCTTAATAATGGAAAAGCAATATAAATTAAAAAATAACCCAGTGGGACTTGAAAAGGTTTTGGATCTGCACTAATTGAAAGTAATTAAAAGAATAACACCATATTGGAGATATACAACCATACATGTGGACAATCAAGTAATAGAAAATCGTATCATTTCTTCGAGTTGGGGATATAACGCACTGTACAATCTTTTTTTTTCCTCTTTTGCCAAAGTGTGTTTATAGCATTGCGCACTGCTTTAAAACAGTACAATTTACAAGTGGCTTTATGTGTTCTGAATATTTTTGCCATAAGAAACTGCAGTCAGTGAGTATTGAGTGGGGAGGGGGAAGAAAATTCATCTTGCTTGTAACAGTACACTATAGCTTGCAGGTAACTGTATTGAATAATGCTGTATTTGAATTCTTTAAATTGTTTTGTGTCGTTGCTAAAAACAATAATGAAAGAATATAGATAGAACAAATAGCATTCATAAGTTTAAAAAACTTGAATGAAATGGATTTTACAGAAAGCTTTGACAGTTCTTTTCAAATGCATTATTTATTTTATTTGTGCCATGCGTTTTTCTCACCAAATGACCTTACCTGTAATACAGTCTTGTTTGTCTCTGTTTACAACCACGTATTTATTGTAATGTACATACTGTAATGTTAATTGTAAATTATCAGTTCTTATTATAACATCATCCTAGTTAGGGTGGTGTTGCCGTATTTGGAAACTCTTGGTGAGAGAATGATTATTGTGGATACATATTCCTTGTACATTTTTTTCTCCTGTAATATAGTCTGTGTCACCTTAGAGCTTGTTTATGGATGATTCAAGAAAAGTATAAAATACATAAAAGATATATCAATTAAAAAAAAAAAGCTGCAGGTCTTTGGTCCCAGGGCTGTGCCTTAACTTTAAACAATATTTTCTTCTGTTTTGCTGCATTTTAAAGTAAGGTAGCTGTGGGACTAGGGCTGGGCATTTCTACCGTATTTTTAGTTGCTAACTGATGGGGATATTCATACAAGCTAATATGCACGATACTACAATGAGCTTTCATTCATCACCCTACTGGAAGATGAAGCTTTTCCAGACTTCTGGCAATATAATTTTATTGCCTCTCTGATTAATCCCTGATGATAGCCTGTAAAGAGATATTGTAGCCATTTTTTGCTCCTAAAAAAAAATAATAAAATTGATGCTCTGTTTCAGTACTGAATTACACTGAGACATCTTTGGAAAGCATCTCTAATAAGCATTTGATTTTAAAGCATATTGGGAAATTAAGTAATTGGAATTAAAGGGATAAAACTCATAGGCTTCTACAATCACTTGTAATATCCATTCTTTATGTAGTAGCACAAATTATCACTGTACAAGCAGAATCCAAGAAGTAAGAAAAAAGGCAGCTTTAATCTTGAAAACGCTTTCCAACACCAATTATTAGTGTTATAAGCAGCCAAAGTTTTATTTTATATAGATTTATCGAAGGCTTTGTACATGTATGTATAGCATAATGCACTAGATCTACAGGAGAGTGGTAAACCTATAGATCTTTCAGTAACACTAGTGTTGGGTTTGCAGATTGGAGTGAGAATCTCCTGCTGTTTGGGTTGTCACATTTCTCCAGACTACTCAGAGCTGGTACCAGTGAATTTGCCAGAGCGAGGTAAATACCTCTCCTCCATTCCAGTGATGCCCAGCCCTTGAATCATGTGACTTCTCTGTGAAAGGAGAGATTCTTTTTCAAGGAAAAACAGAGCCTCTGTTTTGACACAAACTGTAGATTTTAGCAGCCCTGGCCCAAAGGAAATAGGTTGCTTTTGTTTCAAACGGTATAAAAGGGACACTATAACAACAGAAATCCTGAACAATTGTTTGTTATTGTTTTAATTTGATTTTTCCTTTGGGTATGTCTTGAGAGTGGCAACTTGTGTGAACATTGCACATGACTATTCATTCACTGGTTTCTTAGCCTCTCTTATAGCCTATGGGATAGTACTGTACATCGATACCTTCATATGAAATTTTATATGCAATGGAAATAAAAGCATGGGTTGATTCTGCCTAGTTACTGTATTTTATTTTCTTTTCCCAGTTATTTTTTTTTTTACATACATCCCATAGTTGTGACATCTTACAAGAAAGCGTCTTTCCAGAATAGTTTTATTATGGTGTTTTTGTCATTGTACTGTTTTACATATATAATACAAAATAAATCTGGGGACAAATCAGAAAAATCAATAAAGCACGGTATTTCATAAGGAAGTCCAATCCACAAAGGTGCTGTACATTTATCTAGGAAGGTGTTCGATCTCAGTTTTCAGGAAATGTCACCATTGACTTCAGTGGCAAAAGCAGCCTATCCTGAGAAAAGAAAATTTATGCTTTAAAGACACTAGAAGACTGCAGCTTGCCTAGAGGAGCGACATTCTGGGATACCACATAAAAAAAAAAAAAAGAAAGAAAAAGAGCACTGTATTTAAATGCTGATCATACAATCTTGGCTCAAAATGGACAATAACAAGAAATTGTTTTTTAAAATAGAAGTCATAAATGCCAGCTGTTGTCTTGAAGAAAAAATGTGTTCTTAAT